CTCTCAAGATAGTCCATAAGGTGCTCATGAGGAAGTCTGTGAAAAATATGCTGACCCACAAGAGTGTATTACATGAGTTTCCGCTCAAAGTCATTCCTATGGAAAGATGGAGGTCGAATCGCAGGTATGTTAGCATCTAATTTTTGTTCCATGTTGTAATCTCTAAGTGTTCTCCACGAACAACTCTAACATTTCCAGCAGATTCTGCAACAACTACTTCAGACTTCAGTAATCACATTACCAGCATCATCAATCTTTTGCCCTACTCTGTTGCGTGCATGTCCTTCTTGATATCTTAAGACTGCCTGCTTCAGCATCACTATTTAGAATGAACGGATCAACCATCTATGCGTCTGCACACGAACAATGTCGATCGACACACTATGGGTGATGGTACACACTATCTTCTTAGCCTTTCAGTTCATGCGTTATAACTCAAGTATTCCTTATTTGAAAGTTTCAAAAGCTCTATTTCCTTGTTGTTTCTGGTACAATGATGTATCCACCTCAGACGCAAGAAAAAAAGAGAGTATAACTTGTAAGTAAACAAAAACAAGTTTAAATTCTACATCTAATCGGCGACGACGCCAAAATTTGATATGCTGAAATTTATCCTATAAGCAAATCAACGATTTCAGAGGTGAATGTAGTTCTTAGAGTTTTTATCCACAGACTCATATCTCACAATATACTTAAGGTTTTCTAATTAAGGTAGACAATAACAATTGCAATGTAATAGAATATAGAAATTTCTTAGATGACAGTAATTTTTATCATAAAATAGCATACAAGGAAGAAAATGACTAAATATGTTTCATTAAAGAGGTAAATAGACATTTATACTTTAAAGTTAACTAATCTACACTTATGGTTTAGATTCGAAGGGTGAGGCTTGAGGATAGGATTTAGGATTTTTAAAAAATTAATAAACAAATACTAGAACTTTTTAAAAATATATTCTAAAGAAAAATTCAACAAGTTTTTGGATTTTAAAATAAAATAAAATAATAAAAATTAAAAAATAGAAAATAAAAAATTTCAAATTCAAAGACTTATAATTCAAAATAATAAAAACATATTTTAAATTGTTTATTTAAATAATTATATATATTTGAATATCTATAAAGTACGGGCTAAAATGGTCGTTTATCTATAATAAAATTTTTTTGATCATTTTCTTTGTTGTGGACTTTTGTGGTGAAAAGCTATATTGAGGTTATTTAAGAGAACTAGATTGTTTTCCGCGCTACGCGCGGATAATTAATTTTTAAAATTTTATAATTTTCATTCTTTAGCATATGACATATTGTATAAGAGCGAAGATGACATGAACTGATTTTGGTTGTTTAAATGTTGCTTATAACTTTATTTTGGCCTTTTCTAAAATATAATAAGATTGTGTATTATAAGTTTGCCAAAATACCAATAAGTTCACAATATCTAGATAGAAATGTCAAAATGGTGATTTTAGTTGAGTTTCCTTAAAGATCATATTCTGAGTTATATTGGTGTTTTTTTTTCTCGAATTCATGCATTAGATTTGTCTCTTATTTTGTTTCTAAAGTTTTTGATAATTTTTTATTATGTTATCAAAGTAACTGAATGGTTGATGATAAGAATCAACATTAGCTTCTCTTTAAATAAGAGGTATAATTGTAATGTATCAATGCCCCCACCTAACTAATTATGAAATGAATGGTAGTTTGTGACAAAAGAAAAATTGTAGGTTTACCAAAAAAAGGAAAAACAAGAAAACTTGTAATGTATTATATTTTAATTTGTTTTTTTTATGTATTTTTTTTATATTACGGATAAATATCTCATCATGACAACTTTATATTTTCAATGATTTATGCTTTGCAACTTCCAGGACATAGATCTTTGGTTGTTTCATATTCAAAGTTTACAATCATTGATCTATAATATAATTTTGTATAAGATAGAACATATGTTTGAAATATAAATTATGTATTTCATATGGTCATGTTTTAAAGCAACTAACTATGAATTTTGTTGTAGTTTCTGGAGTGTGGCGTTTAATTTCTTACATCATGTATGTATTTCTCAAAATATATTTCATTTAGCTTGTGTGATTAGTTGACCATTTTAAATTTATTTTGTTTGGGAAAGTTGGCGATATTGTTACTTCGAAGGTAAACATATGTAAATTTAAATGTTAAATACAAAAGAAATATTCATACATATTAATTAGAAAGATTTGATTTTTAAATTAATAATTCTAATAAACTTTTAGTCGTCTGATAACTGTAAATACCTCTGATACCAATATATATATATATATAGATATATTATATTTAGTAATTAATTTATTAATATTCTTAGCTTGATATTTATATGCTAATTGAATTCAAAAAAAATGTTCAATAAATACTAACTGATCATCTTTGTAAGAAAACAAATTATTTTTTAAAAAATATATATTTTAGAATTCCTTTTTTTTTACAATTAAAAAGTATGTATTCGGAAACTAAACTAATAAACGTTTAAATGTGTAATGAAAATTCAACAGTTTCAAATGCTATGGGCAACTTTAGTTATTATTCACATTTTTAATTTTAGATAATATTTGTTATCTAGGCTTTTTTTATTTTAGTTTCTTTGTATTGGTTTTCAAATCACATATATAAAAGGCAATATCTGTAAAATATAAAAACGTTTTCATATTATATATACTAATATTTTTTTTTTTACTTTTTTGATAATCTTTGTGTTTTTTTACTGAACTTTATAATCTTTGTTATTTTGAGTTTTAATTTTAGTTTCTTTTTTAGATTGATTTTCAAAATAACATTATAAATATATAAAAGGCAATATTTTATAAAAAAATAAAAATGTGGTCATAAAAGGAAATTTCATAAATAATAAGATTCATATTTAAATATATATATATATATATATATATATTTTTATCAAATAATGATTTTTGTCAGAGACAGAAGCCCAAAATGTGGAAAACAAGCCTCTCCAGACTTGATGTTGAAGATAGTAGTCTAATTGATGTTGACTCCGAGCTTAGCCGTTGTTCCTTTCTTGAGTTACTTTATTTGGCTCAGACATCTTTCAAACTGTTATCTTTCATAAATTTGTTTCGCAAGACATTTATAATAGTGTTCCCATTCGTAGACTCTAGAAAACGGTATTGACTTCTGTAACGGGAAAGATAAACCTTATTTAGGGATTCACCGAGAATTCTAAGAATCCTAAAATCTTTATTTTAACCTGAAAACGTACATACGATTTCCCCGATCACATTCTTCCCGATACACTAAAGTAAACTGTGCAGCTAAAACAAACAGAGAAATACATGATTAATTATGTGTTTACAATTATATTAGACCTAGTAAGTGGCTGGGACAGAAGTACATACCAAGTTAGATATTCTTAGTTGAGGGAGACTTCCACATTATCTGTCTGTCATCTGCTGAGTTCTTGTCTCTGTCTATCTAATCCACTGATGTCGCGTCCTCTTTGTCTCCTGCTTCTGCTTTGAAACCATTCAAATTGTTTGAACTCTTATTGTTACAATTTTTTTTTCTTCTTCTTCTTCCTCTTCCTCTGATAATTCTGGAGTTACTTCACATGAGTAGTTACCTGAGAGATGGGTATTTTAAAATATTTAAGAACACTTGAGATGGACTCTGGAAAGTCATAGAGGAAGAATCGAGCAATTATTCTTCAACTAAGGAGCAAAATATAATCTACACCAAATCCCACCATCCCTAAGATTATTATTCACACTAAATTTGCGTCACAAAGCTTTGCTACTTATGTGTGGTAAAAGCGAATTTGTGCTTAAGTTCATAATTTTGAGAACTTTCATATCTGGTAAAAGAACCATGCTCTCACCTACGCCAGGGCAGCGGTAACGGATCAGATATGGATACAGCCACAGGTAAACTGTCGTCCATATATGTCATTAGATAGAAGGACAACATGCCAATGAAAAGGAGTAGTAGGACATGCTGTAGCTATATATGAAACCCTGCAAGAAAGAACAAAAAACCACGTCCGTTGAAAAATTTCGTCATACATCTGGGCATATATATGAAATGTCAAAGCACACAAACTTCTTCTCAAGAGGATCTTACCGAAGATAGTAGAGAAGAGGAAGGCAAGCCAATTTATATAGTATCCATGAGAACTATTGTCCCTGGTGAATTAGTAAGGAAGTAGGCCTGTATAGATATACAAACATAGGAATGCTCAATGAGTCTGTAATGCTTTCAACAGGTAAAGATGTGGTTGCTCTACTATGCTCAACAGGAAGCACAAAGAAAAACAAAGATCAACTTCAGAGAAACAGTATCAAGAAGACACAGTATACCGTATAACATAGAAAAGAAAACAATATAAAAGGTATATGCCGCTGCAATCAGAAATGCTTCTAAACATATTAGTAAGTAGGGTTGATCGGACCATCAACTCTAACACTGACCAAGAGGGTATATCTTTGGATATATTAATTGAAACCACTAAAACATGAATTTGTGTTAATAAAAGACATATAAAAAGCCACGCAGGTGGAAAGAATATACTCTACGGTAAAAGTTTTCAAATCATTGAAATGATTGAGAGTCTCCCTCAAGTGGACCAAGACACATATTTAATTTGACTTGTGTCTTACGCAAAAAAAAAAAAAAAAAAAAAAAAAAAATCAAAGAGTTCATCATTTACAGATACATATTTAGTTAAAAAAAATTAACGTTGAATACATTTCTTAACTGGAGCAAACGTGGAACACTTTATTGATATAAACGGTTATTGTTTTCTAGCAGAACAATTGGATATTACATCATCAAGCAACAGGTTTGAGAACATAAAACTTGCAAGCATGAGAATCAACAGCTGCTGTCAAGTTCACTACAAACTTTTGCTTCAATGTCTTGTACTGTTCTCATATCACAACAAAACGTATTCATAAGAAGTCGAAACATTTGATTTTTTAATGGTATTTCGTTTTATGCAAGTATGTATGTGTATTACCTTCCATAGATCTCTTCAACGATGCTGTTTGCATGGATGTCAATATCATCCCAAAAAGCAGTAATGGGAGATCGTGTTGGTCCACGGTTCAATAAAAGCAAAACTACTCTGTAACCTGACAATGGTCTTGCCCAAACCTGGATATCACCTTCCATTCTAGCTTTCTTGGCCTGAACACCATGTGGATCTACATTTGTCTGTCATACATATACTCAAACATGGTTATTTTAGGAATCTGATGGCTGAAACAGTAATTAAGTACCTTGGTTTATAGCAATGACCTCCTTGGTTTCCATAATCTCCATTGTCTCTTTGGTAATGTTTCTTATGCCACAACCAAGTAGAAGAGGAGCATGTGAATGATATACATATACATCAGACAGACGTAATATATTTTTCTTATAAGATGGTCTCCCCGTTTTAGGTAGATTTATTTAATAAAGTAGCTTTGCTAAGTTAATTCAAGGTTTATTAAAACATGTAATCATGATCTTACTCATGCTTAGTGATTCGATTGGGGACACTGGTGAAACGGATCTTAGAAAAAGTTGTGTTCTTGAGTATCTCACTAACATCAGAGTTTCTACGACGTTCATCTCCTTCTCTCTCGCCTGAAGCTAGATGACTGCAAATGAAGCAGAAGCTCGTCTTGTAGAGCTGCAAACTCACAGCTATGCATCCCTATGATGGTGAAAAAGAGAATATCAGAAACAGAGTTTTTTTTTTTAGGGTTTAAGTATTTGATTTGTAAAAGTATTCGTACCTTGACTCAGGACTGGGAGAGGGGGAGAGAGTCATGTCAAATAGTGTTAGAAACCTGCAAATTAATGGAAAAATAATGTAAGAACAATGAAGAACAATGTTCTAAAAACCATAACTTTTAAAAAGAAACTCATAACCATATGTTCCAAAAACCTGACTGAGATAACCTTTACGAGAGGCAATAGGATGTAGCGATGAATCTATATTTCGCCTCTTTCACTTCTCCATCTTGGAAAGAACTGCAATGCCTTTGGACGATGGAGATTTTTGAAACCGATCAGTTTCCGATCAGTTTATTGTTGACAGGTTCGTAAGAACATGAACTCTCTTCACTTACAACAGGTTCAGTCTGATTTCAGTTGAGAAATCAAATAGCCAAAGAAGAATAAAGAAGAACTGAAGAAATCGATTACTCAAACCAAAAGAAAAGAGAGTTGTCGGGGATTCCTAAACCAAACCAAAAGTATTGATCCAACTAAAGGTTTATTATCGCGGACTCCCTTGCCGTGAGGCTTCATGACAATGGCGGAGGAAGCAGAAGACGTCAAGTCTGGTGTAGCAATGGCGGAGGAGGAGACAATCTTCTTACTGGTCTTATCACCGGTGGGGATTGAAGAGTTGACGCCGGGTTCCATCGAAACAAATATGTCAGAGAGAGTAGCGATAGAGTGGAGTTTCGTTTCAGTTTAAGCGATACATAAGCCTGGAGTGAAGATGTATTAATAGGAAAATCAGAAGGGAGATGAAGGGATTCCATTGAATGAGTGATGGTAAAGATTGATGAGAACATGGAGTGGAGCAATAAAGCTGAAAACAGAATAGATTAAAGTCTCAAAACGGAAGAGAAGCAAGAGGGACTGAGAAACTCGAAAGGTTGGAGGGGGACGATGGAGATTTAGGTCTGAGATGAAAGGAGACGAAGAATTAGGGTTCTCGGATTAACAGAGAACGAAACTCAACTCAACCCAAACCCAAGACATGCAAGAGGAAAATTAAGGTTATTAACGGGCCGAAATTTAAAAAAACGGATTAAGCCCAAATCGACGAAATTAGGCCCAAACGCAAGAGGAGAGGCTGACGTGGACACTAAGACACATTCTGATTGGCCAAATATTTATGCATATGTGGCTATTGTGAGAAGGCAACAATAGGGCTTTTTAATAGAGTAAAGGTTACCCTAAAAATATGCTTATCTATTAAGCAAAAAAATCACTCTTATTTTATAAATACATAGTTTCGATAAATAAATACATAGTTACATTGTTGTAAATGTTGCAAATCGAATATTTCTATTACTTAGTCGATACCGATGGCTGATTTCTTTTTTAAATTGTTGAAATGTATTATTGTGTATTATATCTCTCATGGGTTATAAAACCCAAACGAAATTTATATATGCAACTAAAACTGAAATGAACGCAAATATTATTGTTCATAAATATTAGAGCAAGTGCATTAGAGGTTTATAGGGGGAGTTCACCTCTTTCCCAAGAAAAAAGAAAATTAAAATAATATTATTTTGGTGAACCGTATCAGAAAAGTTCAGTGCAGTGAACCTGATTCACATGAGGTTCACCACGTGGCGACACCCCATTGGTCCAATTTTTTTTTTTTGAAACAAAAATTAAAAATCAATTTTCTTTTTTATGGTGAACCTCATTGAGGATTCACCAATGTGGATGCTCTTAGATTGACAACAGAAACACTTTATCAAACACATAAATATGAATATGATGAATGATATACTTTTCTTTTTATACCACCCGTATATCATATGAGTCCTCGGAAGGTAGCTATATATATATATATATATATATATCAACTTCAATCACATCACCATACGAAGTCGTTAAAGCTCATTTGATCATTGGACGAACCAACTTGCTGAGGATTGGTCATGTAATCAACAGGTGGCAAGGAGGACGTGGCTTGATGATGCTGATGAAGATCGAGTGGGAGGTCCATAAGATTGTTTGGGTTGGGATAGTGATCGTTTAGATGTCCTATGAGCATTGCAATAGAATCTTCTTCTTCATCTTTTGGTATGAAATCAAACGCAATATCTTCGTAGAAGTTCATGCCGTTGGCTTCCATCGACTCATCTTCTATTCCTTTATTTGGTTTGTCTGCGTACTTTCTTATGGAGAAGTACTGTAATAAGACCAAACAAACAACACATACATAAGGTATACTGTATACATAAGTTCCATGTTTTTGAACCAAAACACTACTCAGTTAAATGTCAACAAGTCATTTAAAGTTTTTAATTACAAGATAATTTTGTTTTTTTTTTTGAAAAGGGAGATAATTTTGTTTTTGATATCAAATTTAAGTACGCATGAACTAAAATTTCGCACAATATATATATTATGCTAATAACAAATATTTTGTGAGGATAACTAGAAATAGTATACTACATTTTTTATTACTCCCTCTGTTTTAATATAAGTGTCACTCTACAGCTATGCACACGGATTAAGGAAACAATTAATTTTACATATTTCCTATATAAAAACACAATTACCCATACACCTAACCATATTTTAACCAATAGAAAAACAAATTATATAATAAAATTAATAAATTTTGCATTGAAAACCGAAAACGACACTTATTTTGTAACACAAAAAATTCTCTACAATGACACTTAATATAAAACGGAGGGAGTATATTTTTACTTGGTCAAAAATAGCGAGGAAAGAAATTAAATTCAAAATTGACAAAATCTTGATAAACAAAAACAATATTTTATAAAAAAACTATTATTTCTGATATGAACCAAATCCTGAAAAAAAACTGTTTGTTTGGTAAATGTAGCCAAACCAAAACAAATTGGCTGTTTTTTTTTTTGACATCGAACAGCTATTTTATAATTTAAACAAATTGACTATTTAAAAGAACAACTTTTCTAGAGAAAAAATATTACATTTCTCCTTACTTAGCAAAATAGTAGTAGAATTAAATGATTAAATAGCAGAAACATTTTATTAAACATAAATTTAAAATTAATAGTCATAATAGTAGATCTTCTAATAGATATTCTGTATGACCATATATTTCATGTCTTTTTTTGGGTCAATATTTCATGTCTTTAAGAATCGATTTCTCAGTAGTATATTAAAACTAGGGTTTGAATTTCTTACAGTACCTTTCCTTATACGGACAGCTATCATTGACAGAAAAAGGTCAAAAGGGCAATAAATATTTGTCTGGATGCTTAACAAACACAATTTAATGACTCACTTTTTAAGTTTCCAATCTTGGGCTGCTAATCATTCTTTATACTACCTCCGTTCCTGAAAGTAGAATTTTTTGAATTTATTTTTTGTTCCATAAAGATAGATTTTCTATATTTTTAAGGTAATTTTGTATACTTTTAAGAAGCATTAATTATGAATATTTGAATTGACTAAATTTTATTGGTGGATATTTATTAAAAGGTGGGTAGAAAAACAAATAATAAATGTAACTATGAACATTTATTATATTTCTTAATATGCGTAGATAGTCTAGAAAATCTTACTTTCGGGAACGGAGGTAGTATTTATTTAAGAGTTTTGTCTTTTTCAAAATAAAACAAGAAAAGAGAGTTAACAAGAGAGCTCACGAGATTTTTGCTTTCGTCCTCGTAGATTGTAAAAAAATCTCCAATCTCTACTCTTTTTTTCGTCACAAATTCTCCTTTAATTTTTACGACAAAAGGAAAAACATATTATAATAAGAGTATAAATAGTTTAAATGATATTATACTTGGAAAGAATATAAAAGCTCTTTAACTACCTGTGTTTTCGAGGACATACATTCTGCTCTTGTTATTGGACCAGAACCTATGTTCACAGTAATGCAAGTATTTTTAAATTATAACATTAAATTGAAATTGATATTCTAACTTGAAACCATCAAAATTGAGCTTAAAAGATTGTTCGGACCCTTTGCTTCTCTGAATATAACAGAATTCATATAAGAAAAATGAATACGAGACTTAACTTGTATTTGAAAGACCAATTCTGCATAGAGTCAGCATCTCTCATCTCTAGTATCATCCCTTCTTTAGTAGATAGCTCCGGAAGATTTCTTTCAGCTTCTCTCTGCGTTCCAAAGCCATGACTTATATGACTTTTCTTATCCACTATTTTTTTCTTACTGTTTTAGTTAAGGCAGATAAGAGTGACATAATTATACAGTAGAACCTCTATAAATTAATATTCGATAAATTAATATACACTAAATATCTCTATAAATTAATATAATTTTATAGTCTCAAATTGAATTTTTGGTTTAATTAGTATATCTATAAATTAATATTTCTCTAAATTAATAAAAAATAAAATTTTGGTGTAGTCCCAACATTATTAATTTATAGAGGTTCCACTGTAATTTGTTTCAGTATAACAACCAATCTCTATAATATTATTTGAGAAGTCAGTTTCCTACGTGTCGCGCTCACGTTAACTCTTACGATGGTTGATTACATAGATACCCTTAATGAATTGTTAGATTTTAAGATTATGATTTTTTATTTAATTTTTTTTACCTTTTTCCAAATAACATGTATAATAAAAAGGAAATATTTCTAAAATTTTCGAACAAATTTTAAAAACGAAAATATATGTATATAATATGACTTTATTAAAAAGGAAAGTTCACAAAATAGTAATACCCCATTAATATATATTTTGAAATAACATAAAATATATTTTCAAAATAATAAAAATATATGTGTTCATGAACATCCAAAAACTTATCAGTTGCACTTTATTTTCTAATATTTTTTTAGAAATCAACATATAATTTGATAAATATTATAAAAATACATGTATATTTAAGCGATAAATAAAACTAATTTGATTTGACTTAAATAAAATAAATAGTAAATAAATATTATGAAAATACATGTATATTTAAGAGATAAATAAAAGTAATTTGATTTGACTTAACTAAAATAAAAAGTAATTATTCTTCAATTTTAATTTAAAAATATATTATATTCAATATACTCACAAAATGAATGACTCGAATAATCCAATTTATATCCAAAATTAATCATCTAACTACAATAAGAACATATAGTTTTATAATAATAATAATATTAATATTAATAATATTTTTAGTTTTATACATATAAATTATAGGTTGATTCAAAGCATATTAAAAAGAAAAACAAAATATTAACCAATTACAATTTAATTCTTTTTAGAATTTATATATATGCATGAGACTTCAAAATATTATCATTATATTCATTTATTTAATTTTGAATCAAATATTTCAGCTTATTATTAATTTCACTTTAAGCACAATATATATATATATATACTAAGTTATACATAATTTAACTATAATATATTTACATATCTAAGAATATATTTACATATATAAAGACAATAACCAACCGAAATGAAAATAAGAAAATTAATCAAAGTTTTATTATATTTAAAATAAAAAATATTATAGCTGAATTCGAAAAATAGATATTATCCAATATATCAAATTGATAACCAAACCAACTATTGATCAAAAAAAATAATTAAACTGGCAATAATATATCCAAAGTCATATGTATAATTAGAATAATATAATATTTATTAATATAAATTATACATATAAATTGATTCAAAATGAATAGTAAATATCAATCAATTATTTATTTCATTTAAGCACAATATATATTAAGTTATACATAATTAACTATAATATATTTACATATCTAAGAATA